AAGAACTGACTTATAAACTGTTTCACTTTTTTAACAGAATGATGATAGTTTGTATCAGCTGAATTAAGGTTCTCTCACACACACACACATACACACACACACACACACTCACACAGAATAAAAGTGATACATCCTGGACACAAACCACTCTAGAATCACTTGGAAACCTGAACAAATTACACATCTGAAATGCTAAAGTTCTTCCAATAGTGTTAGCAATCATGCGAAGGCAGGGTGAGAAACCATAACGAACTCCCATAAAAGCAACCTGGGGGAGACAGGGCTCCTGTCACCAACATACTTGAAACTTTTTCAAAATACACAGCTTGGCAATTGGTGACAGTATCCCATGATATTGGGCTGCATTCTGTGGCTAAAGGAATAAAGACAACAACAAGGACAGGAGGAACATCCTATGTGCTAGCTACTCCTAGTCTCCCTCCGAAGAGTAAAAGGACAGGTTCCCTGGCTCTTTTACCTTGGAAAAGCACCTCTGTTTAACAGAGGTAAAGCAATTTGTTTAAAGACAAACATAAATGTATTTTAAGAAATGCCAGAATTTGGCTCCATGCTTCAATGTCTTAATTTTAAAAACCAATTCATTATTCTAATGCCCCAGCATGAATCAATGTTATCAGTGTTCCACAAAGAACTGTGTAATAATCATCAATTCACAATCGTGCACAAAGTTAATGTCAAATGGTCAAAATCAATCTTAAAAAGTATTTTAAAATACTTTTTTTTGCATTTAAACGCAAATGAAATTTTAAGTTCCCAATTTAAACTGATACTGATAGTCCAGGAGCTAACTCTGAAGAATCAGTGAGCTAGATATTGTTTGAACACTTCCAATGATTTCATGAAGACACAGCCACTTTTCATTATTGGAAATTTCCACAGACAACACTAAATATGTGCAGAGAAACTTTTATTAATTTTTCTAACACAGAACGATCCTCCTAATCCTTCTAAATATGCCAGTCACTCAAATATTGAAAGAAAAATCCCCTTCCTTAAACTTAGCTTTTTCCTTAATTTCTGCCCATTAACTTCTTTAATTAAATCTCACTCTGTACTATTTATGTGTCTGGCACAACTTAAGATGGTAATATAGAAGCTTTAGTGTTCATTGCATTTCCATTTCCTACTTAATAACAGCTCATAATTACATTTAGTTTTCCAACAACTGCATCACAACACTTCCCTTGGACTGCTGCAACTATTCCATGGAATATTCCATGAGCTGAGAAAATGAAGTAATGTTTTCATTAACATAAAGTTATTTCAGTTGCGTTACTTCTTTATTTTGCATGCAGGTCCTTCCTAATATCAGCATTATCTTTAAAAGAAAATGATTACAGGAGCCAGTGTTGTGGCAACCACCTGCAAACCTGACATTACACACTGAAGTGCCAATTTCTGACTGCTTGGCTTCTGATTCAGCTCCTTGCTGGATCCAGTTCCCAGCTAGTGGGAAAGCAGTGAAAGACAGTCCAGGTAATGGAGTCCCTAAAACCAACTTGGGAGACACACAGGGAGTTCCTAGCTTCAACATGGCCCAGACCCAGGTCAGCCCTTACAGACATTTGTAGAACTGATTAGCAGGTACAAATTCTCATTCCTCCCTCTATGTCGCTCTGCCTTCTAAGTAAGTAAATTTTTTTTAAATAAAATTATTTTCCTACATGTCTTCACAGGATGAAATTAAGTATTATACTTCACAATCTTCTAAAAAAATATTGGTATAATTTTCTAAAATACTCAGGTAAAAAGTTTCTTCCAAACAATTTCACCACTGTCCTCTAGTAGCCAAGTACTTCGAATAATCAGACTTAAAAAACTCACTGACAACTTCTACCCATTGTTTTTTATTAATTTATGACCACAAAACAAACCTTCCTATGACCTCAAGGAAATTAAAGAATTTCAACATGCCTTCATGCTAATTGCCTAGAGTTCTTAGTTGCACTTCCCATTTACACTTGAGGCCCTACGTGACACTAAAACTCAAACAGATAATACCAAATTGTGAGGACTGAATTAAGTGAAACAAACTACTTGCTAAAGATTAGATCATTAGCCAACTTTGAACTATAAATGAACTACATCATACAGGCCAGGAGACAGCAAATTATATCTATAGGCTAAATCCAATTCTCCATTATTTTGTTAATAAAAATTTTATTAGAACATACATTTATTTGATTACAAAAAATGTATATGTTTGCTTTTGTGCCATAATGGTAAAGAGTTGGAATAGAAATCGTAGGACCTGCAAAGCTCCAAATACTTAACTATTTGGTCATTCATAAAAAGTATCTATCAACATCATAGAACAATGAATGATTTGCTGTCAAAGCAAAACCACGAGCTGTGCAGACACGACCATAGGTTAGGACCCCAGCCATCCACACTAGAACAGCTACATGGAAACAGTGGAATAGAACAGTTCTTCAGCCCACTCTGTGTAAAACATTTGTTGCATACCCAATACAGAGCTCTTACTTACCTGCTCAGTGATCTAATATTTAACTTGTATTTCTCAAGTAGTCAATACCAGAATAATAAAGAATAACGAAAAATTCATGAATATGCTTTTTTTTCCCGAAGGTTAAAAAAAGTTGCTGCAAATAACTCATCAGTAAGTAAAATGTGTAGAACTACAAAATAACTTCCTTACATTTTGGATCCCCCAGTACAAAACATTTTAAAGGCACTTAAAAGTAGGAAAGTTTAAGTACAACAATTTACATAATATCCAATGTATTAAATGATACAAATTCTCTCTTGCATTAAGTAACACAAGTTTCATTTTCCATGCTATACAACTAAAATCAGAGTATGTCTCATCTAATTCAAAGTATAGCTATTTAACATGAAGTGGCATCAGACTTTTTTAAAAAAAATTAAAGTCATAGCAGCAAAGAATCTGCAACAAGAAAATAACATTTTAAAGTGGGGAAAGTTTCAAAAGGACACGAAATATTTGAGAAAAGCAACAGGTCCTGACTAGCTAATCAGTGGCACAGACAAAACTAGCACATAACACTCAAGTACGACGTTGGCACTCTTTTGACTTCTTCACTGGGTTTAAGAGATGGTCGATTTCTAGGGAGTGCAGAGCAATCTGTCCAAATATTGAAGAGTTTTTAAAGGGCAGTAAAGATGCTCCTAGGCCTACAGTTCACCTACTCTAAGCAACCATCTTGTGTCTGTTTTTTTTAACCCATCAACTATAGTATTGCACAAGAACAACCCCCCCCCAAAAAAGCAAAGCAATTTTTATCACAAAGATCAAAGAAATAATCAACTATTTGCTTAGAAAATTGTCAAAGATGAGAAAAGCATAACAATACAAGTGAAGATACAGTGTGACAGATATCCATCTATTACCAGTTTGGTATGATATTTCTGAATGGTAATTTGGCAATATTTTTGAAGAGCCTAACAAGTACTTTGCATCTAAACCACTATTATATGTCCATTAAAAAATTCTAAAGAACAAATCTAATGTAGAGTTCAAATTTTACATACAAGGGTATACAATCCACTCTTATTTGTCAATGTGAAAGATTACAAACAACCTAACATCCAAAGAGTGAACTGGTTAAACTGCGGTTTTTCATACAGTAGAATATTAGGAGGCCATTTTTTAAAATCACACATTCAAAGACATGTCAGTGCTTAGGATATGATGTGAGGTTATATTAAAAAGGTACACAACTATATGGTCAAAATAAGGTAAATTCCCTTCTTTTACACACTCAAACACAAATGCACACACTCATACATACAATAGTATAAACAAAGACTGAAAGGAAATACAGAAATGTTAACAGTGTTACCTTTGGGTAGTGAGAGAGTAGCTAATTTTTTCCTCTATACTTATCGGCATTTTCCAAGTTTTCTATAGTAATCAAGTATTAATTTTATACCTACAAAATATTATTTTAAAAATTCATTCTGTAGTCAAATTTGGTATTCTCTGGTCTTCAGCAAATAAAGAATAAATATTTACAGTACTCAAAAGTATTAAATAATGGGAAATAAATCACTAGCTTATTATTATCTAAATCATTTTTGTTCTAGAGACAATAAGAAATAAATCATTAATGTATAAAAGTAATTTCCACTCATTTAGAGGTGGATGATTCCAAAAAGTAACATCATTATATTCCATTCTTGAGTATATAAAGTTGTTAATAAATAAGAGATGCAACTTTTAAATAAAATTGGTGCAAGGCATCTGAAAATAGTGCAACCATGGCATATGACCGGAGACATAATGATCTCCAATATATTGTAGATATTCAGTGTTAAATTAAAACAGGTATAAGGTACACACATGCTGGCCATATAATTTAGTATTCAAATTTCTTTTATTTTCTCAAAAAAAAAAAAAAAAAGCCAAAGTAACTAAATTGGTCTACGCCCAAGAAAGAAAAATATGCAACAATCATACCATCATTTTAGTTGGAAGAGCCGCACCAAAATTCATGACCCAAAAAAGTCAAACTATTAATAAAAAGAAAAAAAACAAATGACTTTTTTTCCTTATTCTTGCTAAAAAATTCAAGTGAAAGAGTAAAATTGCATAAATCACTAAAAAAGCACAGCAGCGTATGGTCTGCAATAATCTGAAAAGCACTAAGAACACTCCAATGTCTCCTCATGGAACATAAGGTGTTTCAAACGTGGTCTTTGAAGTACAGGACTCTCTCTCATCTTTCACAGTCTCTGAGTTTACATTCTGTTACAATCTGGTCATGACATGAAGGGATGTTACAACAAAAAAGGCAAACAAGCTCATTTTAAAACTTTCCAATTAAATGATTCTAATTTCTGTGATTTAAAAAAATCATATAAATGTCAAATATAAAATACATCCAAATATATTTTTACATAAGTGCTGAGGTTTACCAATTTTAACAAAAATTCTGAGATGGGATTAATAAACACTATTTCATGTATACACAGAGCAATAAGTTTAAATCAGACTATTTGAGTTGTGTAGCCCTTTATTAGCAACTAAAATAGAAGGTATCTGTTGTACAACACGGGTAATAATTGACTATAACTGGAGATTTATTATATTCTAATACAGATTATTTATAAATGCAATTTCTTTATTAAAAAGCTTCCACCCTTTTTTTGTTTGTGTACAATTTGCAAAACTATTCTGAAAGCGGAATATATGTGCACAAGTCTGCAAAGAGTGCAAATTTAGGATATGGTAAATGCTTTACAAGTTACTTTCAAAAAAACTGCCTGCCACAATTGGGCCATACAGTGTCATCTTTTGATCAAAATATCTTGATGCCAGCCTTCTTTCCACCAACCTAAACTATAAAGCATTTTTTTTAATGAGTTGAAATTAAGGAAGGACTACACCTACTAGAAAAGAAGAGAAGAAAGTTCTATTAGTCTGAGGTTTCAGAATCCCCCACACCAGGACCAGTGTCTCGGTAAAGGCTAGGCCGGGACCCCGAACAGGGTATGAGCATGTGCAGGTAGCATCCCTGAGGACTGAGAGCTTCAGTGCACTGTGAGGGCTCCAGCTGCGTAACTCACTGAACTGTCTTGCCAGTTTCTGCACTGGCTTGACTGGGCATAATTCAAAAAGGAAAAGCTCATATTCATTCCATTCTTCTGGAGCTCCGTGATAGCCTAGAAAGAGAAAAACGGGGTTAGGACAGACATCATATCAGCACGTAAACACTGCGAGTAAGCTACCTGCTTACCCTGGCCCTCTCCCCTGCGGAAGCGTAGGGCCCTCTCCTAAATTTCTCTCGTTGGCACATATGAAATAGAAAAACGATCAAAGTCCTTGCACTAACCTCTGAAGAAACCTGTTCTAACGTAGCTTCTTGATAACTCAATTCATTCATACATTAAGAGCTCTTCAGGTTCATGAAAAATGTTCATTGTGAAAAATTATAGATGGGTTTCAAAAACTCTTTTGGCACCAAAATCAACTTATTTCTTAATTTCATTTTTTTCCACAAACTTTTGAAGTACCCTTACAAATACAATTTCTTCTGTTCTCCAAATCAAATTTTGGTCAACTTCTTTCAAATACTAAGGTCCTTCCTGATCTAACTAAATTTAAAATGTGTAAGAATTAAATTTCAGATCTAACAGATACAATACGATTTTTACTTTAATTGTAGACTGGCTCAACTGATAAAAACTTTATCGACCAGCTCCTTATTCCATGGGCGCCTGGTGTGCAATGGCTCAAACAGCATTCTCCTTGGTAGTGTATGCAACCTGTTCCTTGTATGGGTTGCTCTAAGGGACCTTGGAGTCAGTCCTTCAAAGTGGCCAATCCTGCTTCTGACCTCATGCTGTTCCTCATCTAGGCTGCAGACAGGTGTGCGGGGTGCTTTTGGAAAGCCCCAGGGCACAGTCGTCACATAAGGGTTCACATAAGCCAAGTCATCATGTCCATCCGCACCAAGCTGCAGAACAAGGAACATGTGGTTGAGGCCCTACGCAGGGCCAAGTTCAAGTTCCTTGGTCGCCAGAAGGGAAAAAGTAGGGTTTTACTAAGTTCAGTACAGATGAATTTGAAGACATGGTGGCTGAGAAGTGGCTCATCCCTGATGGCTGTGGGGTCAAATACATCCCCAAGGGTCGTCCCTTGGACAAGTGGCAAGCACTCAACTCATGAGGCCTCTGCTCTTTTGCGCTCCTAAATCTGACCAAAAGAAATCTTGATTGTTGACTTGAAAAAAAAAATTTCTTGATAAAATTAGACTTAAGGAAACTAGTTTGATTATTTTAAATTTCAAAAATTTGTTTAAGTTTTTGAGTGGCTTTTTTTCATTCAATCAATCCTGGTTAAGAGTAAAACCTTTCCTAAACATTTACAGCATATTAGTTTTCAAAACACAGTAAAAAACCAATTTCAAGATTTCTAAAGATTATTCTTGGATACTACATCACTTTCTACATTATTTCTCCACTTTTCCCAAACAAATAAGCTCATTGTTACATCCTCCTCCAATTCATGAGTACATACAATATTTGCTCTTTTTTCTTAAGAGTTTCATAATTCTTTCAGGAACTCCATAGTATTTTACTTATAGGGAGAATTTAATGTATACTTTTCTTAAATTGGCATGACCAAAACTTGACTTATAATTTCCCTAAAAAAAAAACAAGTATTATCATAGTTGTTTTAAAGAGAAAAAGACATGTGTCATCCATCTTGCCACATTAAATTATGAAATCTAAAGTTCAACAGCAAGATCTTCCACCTATTAATAAAGACCTTATCATTTGAAAGGTCAATTCAGTTTTTATCTGGAAAAAAAACCCAGGTAGAAACAGTGTATCTTTTTAAAAAAAAATAGGAACTGGCTGAGTCCAGAAAAACATGGGTATCTATTCTACAGTATTTTTTGTATTAACAGATATTACAGACCAATATTCTAGTAGTAACTTTATTCCAGCAAAATAAATAAAAATCTGAAATTATGCTAAAGATCCTAGAAACAAATTTGGCAAGATGTATATAAAGTCAATGAAGATAACATTAACATACTGATAATATATTTAAGTATCACAGGATCAAATGGCAAAAGGCAAGACTCCCTAAGGGTACTCACATTTAGTAACACCCCAATGGGATGTCTTCCACATATAGTATTATGGTATTTCTTCAAGTAATTGCTAAAAGATACAGGATCTAATTGTTCTATAATACTCATACCCTAAAAAAATAAAAGAATAAAAAGAAAAAAAATATTAGCTAATTATATCTTAAAATTGTTACTTCAACTAAATTAATTTTCACTTACAGAGACACAAAGAAAATATGCTAAATCATCCCTGTGAAACATCAAACTCATTCATCAATGGCAATCTGATTACAGTCAACTGCAGTGACAGAAAACTAGGCCCAGTTTATCACCCTATTCTTACATATCCACACCACATTCAGCAGCTATCACTTAGCTCACAGATCTCAAGCATTTCTAAGGACCATTCAGGGAAGTAAATCTGCTCTGAAAATTTTCACATGAAACTTAAAATTAAATCTCATTATGATCGTATTTTCCCCATATCCATGTTTCTACTGCCATAAAAAAATCAATTATACTTCAACTACTTCCACAACATAAACATAAATATCAACAGTGTGTAAGTTATCAGAAATCATTCAGGTAAGTGATTTTAATTAATTCAAAGCTCCTCAAAGATTGGTGAAGGGTTATATATCACAGGATCTTAAAAGGAAAAGTTGTTCATCTCCTTACAATTCATACTAGAATGTCTTATTTTCAAGACTTTAATTCAGAATACAATTTATCTGATTATTTTAAAACAATTAATGATTTTATCACTTGTTTCCACAGAATGTTTCACTCTCCAAATACATAAATTCATTAATAGTAACTTTAACTTACTAGTCAAATAAATCAGATTAACTTATTCACCAATAACTTTATGTTATCTTTTTATTCAGTTAAATATTATTTATATGCAATAAACTATGAGAAATATAAGTGGTTTAATCTTGGACTTAACTGGTATACTATTTGTGAATATAAAATTTTATTTCACATGCTTTAACAAAGCAGGTACAATGCAAAAGTGCCAAGAGTTATAAGACAAACAGTCATAACAAAAAAGTTGTCTGGAAAGGAGTAGCAATCCGCAGGCAGCACACAAAGTTTTAAGTTGCAACATCAAAATTATATTTTGTAAAGAACCTTTCCTTGGATTCTTCAAGTCCTCCATAAATACTCTCAATTTTCTTATATGTCTGAAATAGGCAATGTTACTTATAATCAATCCTAAAGTGCTTGCACATCCATTAGCCATTCAGATTTATCAACAGTTCTTACTGTTGAGCTGGTTTTCCCCTGAAAACCAAAGTCAACAATCTAAGCTGACCCAAGCTCAAGAAATAAAGATTAACGTTAAAAGTTAAACATCAGAAACAATTCATACCATAATTCCAGTACAAAGAACTCAGTGTATTTCTAACACTGAGATAGAAATCCTTTCCATAACTATGGGTAATCAAGGTAAAACCGTCCTAAGACGAAGACATTAAGGCATAAAAAATGGTTACATTTCTTGGCTCTCAGTTTCTAGTCTTGGATACTCAATGTCTGCTCTGAGTCCTTACAGTGTAACAAGAGCCACACTAACAACTCTTTGAATGCACTGCCATACTACAATGGGCATGCATACTGCTAGAGAAGCTCCAGTTTCCTGGCAGCTCTCTTTAGCTGGAATCCTATCCATTAGTAAATGATGTGACATTGAGTTCTGACATGCAATTAATAACTAAGTTCTCAAAACACATTCAGAAAAAAAAATTATCAATAGTACATATTAACAGAAAGTCAAAAAGAAAACTATCATGTTTATAAAAAACACAAGTTGCCAAGCAACCGACCAAGACACTGTTATATAGAGAAGCATAAATTTCTAAACACAGAAGACACTACTAAATAGAGTTCAAAAATGAAAATAAACTGGATAAAATCACAATAGTGAAAATAAGAAATTGTGATGATTAAAGTTAGGGGATTAAATAGTATAAAAATGTTAATGCTTTTGTCATGTATATACTAAAGCAAAAATCAATCCTATTATACTCAAATCTCTGACAAATGTGATGGATTAAAAGATATGCCTTTTTATATAGGAGGAAGAGAGCAATTAAGACTTTTCTCATGGATAACTCTCTCCGATAAACAGCAATGTTGAAATCACAAAAGAGAACTCTGAGAATATCTGTAAGTATATCTATGTATATACACATACATATATATTTAGGTTTTGATTCGAACAACCATGAAATTACCATAAACAAAATTGTGAGAAAGCTACTTCTTCTACCCTGTTGCAAAATTTCAATATAAAAAAGAAAGTACTTCTCCAAATATGCCTACATAACTTTCTTATGACTTAAAAGGTAAGCAAGACTCACTACAGTAAAAATCTGATTTCTTCACATAAACATAACCTAACATGAGACAGTGAAATGGGTCAACACTTACTTATCTCTGAAATGAAAAGCAGACAAAGCATCAACAACCTCTATCAGGACTTTCAGTTTCTGAGGAATTCAGCATTTTCAGGAAGAAACCCACAGAATGAAGGCTAACTTGAACGTGGGGACAGGATGAAATCGGCCCTGCACTCACACTCCCTGCACAGTGCAAGCTTGTGATGTCAGGTCCCAAGTGTAAGCTGGAACAGGCAGTGCTGACTAACAGCAGCCTTAAATGCAGGACTCCGGCCAGAAAACAAATATACTCCCTTTTAAACAGAGTTAATCCACTTTAATGTAATAAAAGTCACTGAAAATTGTCAAACAGAAGCAACCCTCCTCTTAAAGTAATAAGGTAGCAGGAAAAAACTCTAAAGTATTTAAGAAATTACTACATTTTTAATAATGAGTACATAATAGTTATAGTATCAAATCAGTAAAAGTGTAAATTCACATTTTGAAGTAAAATGCATCACTAATTGAGGATGGGTATACATTCTAGGGAGGCATGGTGGGAAGAAGAAATATTCTAGCTTATTCAAGAGGCACAAAAACTAAAATCCACAACAGTGCAAGAAATTCCACGGGAAAAATTAAGGCTACAGGTAAAAGTGCTAAAGTAGTTGTCTTACAGATAAGATTATAAAACTGTTAAGAACCTATGGACTAAAATTGGGGGTGGGAGAGAAGATGTGCAACTGAAAGACATGAAAAATTTTCATTCTAAGCAAAAGTAAAAAAAAAAAAATGACATTCAAACAAATTTCCATTCTAAACAAAAGTTTTAAAAATGACAATCAAAGATTATGAAGTGAATAGTAAATGAGGAAGGAAAAGAATTGATAACAAATGGATGATTGCAACAGTCAGGTTTCCCTGACAAAATCGTAAATAATTTGCCAATGTCCACAATGAAACAATGGCCAACATTAAAAATGTATAATTTAAAACATCTGTATGCGATCACTCTGTGTGTGTGTGTGTGTGTGATTATTTCAAGTAAGCAAAGTTCACAACAAGTGTTCTACTTTAGTCACTGTAATTACTAAAACTGCAAAGTACTAATTATCCAAAACAAACAGTAGCCAATGAAACTACCATACAACGTTCAGAATCCACATTTTCTGCATTATAGGTACTTAATCTCAATCCCAATGTTTAGAAGCTTCAGAATTTATTTCTTACATAAAATTATGTATGTATTTTTTCACATAATCACAATTCAAGATATTACGCTACTGGACATTTCTCAATAAAGAATGGCAATTTTGCTTTTGGAGCACATAAGTGGTTTTATTTTCTAACATTTTAATGACTGTAAGATTTCTTAGCTAAAAAATGATCAAGACATAACTATCATTAAAATTTGAATAATTAAATTAAAACTTTACGCACAAAATAATTTTGCTTTTTCAAACTATCAAGAATTGCTAACATTTTACCAATACCCATACAGAGAACAAATACATTCTCCCTGAAGATTGCACAGGCTAAGAAACTGGTTCTCAAATGAATTATAATTATTGTAATTAAAATGACTTGTTAGAAAAAGAAATATGCAAAACTCTACTCACCATCACATTAGATAAATCACTTAAAACAACACAATGTTTAAGGATCCACCTAACAGTACACCGACACAGCTAGGTTTATACCCAGAACTGATCATCACTATTATTTTGACCCACATATCCTAACTTTCAGAACTGACTTTTCAGCTGAATTGGCAGTTCAATATTAAAAGAACAATACAGGTCATTTAAAAAGTCTATACAGGGGCCTGTTTGGTGCAGCACGTGAAACTGCCGACAGCAACAGGAGCATCCCACGTGGGTGGGTGGCAGTTCAAGTCCTGGCTGCTCCACTTTGACAATACAGTTCTATGGTAATACAGCTGGGAAGAGCAGAAGAGGGTCTGAGTGCTTGGGTCCTTGCCACCCAAGTGGGAGATGAGCTGGAATGTGGGACACTCAAAAGGAATTTTGGGTCCTGGCTTCAGCCTGGCTCAACTTTAGCCACTGTGGCCATTTGGGGAGTCAATCAGCAAATGGAAGATCTCTGTTTCTCCCTCTTTCTCTCTCTCTCTTTCTTTCTCCCTCCCTCTCCATCTCTTTATCTCTTTCTCTAACTTTGCTTTCCACATAAATATTCTTAAAATTCTGTATAAATTAAGATAATTCATTAATTGGGCAACAAAAATCAGTTTCAAGTTATATATGTTAAACCAAAAATTAAATTCAAGTATATTAACATGAGGCAAATAGTAGTATTTATTTGGCAATATTATTCTAGGTTTTTTTTAATTAAAATTTTTAAATTACATTCTAGTAATTTCAAACCCCAAAAGGAAAGCAAAGAAGATACAGACAGGGTAAGGTAGACGTTGTGATACCACAATCAGAGCCAGCACTTTGTATGCACACAGCCTGTATCAGAGCATCCACATTGCCCACCCAGTTTCCTGTAAATTAGCCTTCTGCTAACACTTTTGCAAGATAGCTGATAGCGGCCCAAGCATTTGGGTTCCTACCACCCTCATGGAGACTCAACTAAAGTTCTAGCTCCTGGCTTCAGCCTGATCCAGCCCTGTCCATCCTACCCACCTGGAAAGTAACAGTGTATAGAAGGTCTCTCCCTGCCTCCTCATCTGATACTCTGCCTTTCAAGTAAATAAATGCATCCTTCTAGAAACATTTTTAAAAA